GATATTTGTGTTGTTATTGCTGGCCAGATTCACAGCTTTTGTTCTCTCGTTTCGTGTTTTTCATTCTGATGGAATCTTTATTCTGTGCTTTGTGTTGGGAGCCTTGTGTGTCTTAATTTGGAGCTGGGTGACACCTAAATTGATTGAATGAATGAATGAATAAATTTAAATCTTCACTGACTGTTGAAGATTTCCTTTCCCTTGTTTTCTTTTTTCATGCCTGCCTTTTTTGCTTGCCTTTTTAGATGTTAAGAAGAAAGCCAGTATGTTCCTTTGAAACATGTCTCTCACACGATTTAAGACTTTGCAAGAAGAATGCGGCTTAGCAAACCCAAACTTTTACAGCTGATATATTTCAGAACAATATACGGTGGGCTGGTGGGCTCGTTTCAGAGGGCAGATATATATGTCTTGTTTTTAGCTGGGTTTTATACCAAATCCATCCTCTATAATGAGAGTTTACATCACCGGCTGAGATTTTGGGGAAAGAGATTAAGAAAGGGACACTAGATCTCCCAGGAAAACAGCATCTTTGCAGCCATCGAAAGAACTATTACAAAGTTTGATTACATTCGTACAGCTTAAATAAGCATTTCTCAAGAAAGGAGGGTTGAGATGTTTTTCTCCCAAATATTTGTGCAGTTGGTATATTTCACAAGCCAGGAGGAGAGCAAAATAAGACTGTTTCTGAAGATGCCAATCTATATATATATAAACCAAATACTACTCACTCATCATGAAATCTCCAGCCTATAAACTTGAAACTTGGCATGTATGTTCCTCTTGGCTTCTAGGTGCTCGCTAAGAAAGGATTTTTCGAAATGACCATCAGATCATTAGTATTTCATATACAGTATTATATTCACACGCTCTGATGCTAAGGAGTTAGACGTTCTACTCCCCCTCCCCACCTGAAAAGAACTCTGTTCCAACTGCCAGTTGCCTTATATTAACACGCTCTGATGCTAAGGAGTTACACATTCTACATAAATTTTCAAGCTTTAAGTGTCAATGTATCAAGCCCCATCATAACTACTCATTAATTTTCAAGCTTTAACTGTTAATTTATCAAGCCCGATCACAGAGTTTCATAGCGCAGCATGGGTATCCAGCTACTAGTCAGATTATAAACTTCTCTGAGCACTAAAAAAAAAATACAAGGCTCCATCTTATTTTCTATAAAAGCTGCATTCCCACCAATATAGGCAGCCCTCGATTTACAACGACAATTGAGCCCAACATTTCTATTGCTAAGCGAGACGGTTGTTAAGTGAGTTTTGCCCCATTTTACGACCTTTCTTGCCACAGTTGTTAAATGAATCACGAATAAATTAGTAACATGATTGTTAAGTGAATCTGGCTTCTCCATTGACTTTGCTCGTCAGAAGGTCGCAAAAGGTGAGTCACATAACTCTGGGACACTGCAAGTGTCATAAATATGAGTCAGTTGCCAAGCATCCGAATTTTGATCACATGGCTGCAATGGTCGTAAGTCTGAAAAGTGGTCATAAGTCACTTTTTTCAATGCCGTTGCAGCTTCAAAGAGTCACTAAATGAACTACTGTAAGTTGAGGACTGCCTGTACATAATATATAAAATCATAATAAATATATTCTGATTCTGCTTCACATAAAATGTTAGGGCAAAAGAAGCCTACCAAAATATAGCTCAATGCAATGTTCTGGTTTCCATAATGTGGTTTGTTTGATTTTTGACTTAGCCATTGCAGTTTGGACACAAACGTTTGTGGTTTAATACAGTATGTCGCAGGAATGTAGCATTATAATTGTAATGGCCATAGTGTTACAATCCACTGGCAACACTGCGCCTGTTTGATCTCTTCTATTGTCTAAAAAAATAATATGGGATCCACCCTGTACACAAGACACACACCACTGAGATTGATGGCATTCCGCAGGCTGATGTAATGTATACCACAAATTCTCCAAAGCAGGCTAAAGGGAGGCTAAAGCCATCGACTCTTTCTGCTGGAAATATTTTTCCATAAGTCTGAACCTTACATTGAGCTACAAACACAGGCTTGCAAACCACAGTTATTGAGTTCAGGGGTGCTGAAGAACAGGCAGAGTGGGGCATGGATGCTACGTGTATCCTGATTTTGCGTCCATCATATATGTATAGTTCATAATTTCTGTCATTCGCACAATGATGTCAACGATTTATTTATTTATTTATTTATTTATTTATTTATTTATTTATTTATTTTATTGGATTTCTATACCGCCCTACTCCCGAAGGACTCAGGGCGGTGAACAGCCACAGAATAAAACACATAAATACAAAAATTTAAAATAGAATAAAAACGAATTAAATAATTTGGCTGAGACAAATTTAAAAGACCCCATAATTTAAAAACAAATTAAAATTTACATTTAAAAAGGGGAGAAGATTTAGGCCAGGCCAGCTTGATGAAATAAAAAAATCTTAAGCGCACGACGGAAGGTGCGCAGATCCGGGATCCTCCGTATCTCCGGGGGGAGCTCGTTCCAGATCGTAGGTGCCCCCACAGAGAAGGCTCTCCCCCTAGGGGCCGCCAGTTGACATTGTTTGGCCGACGGCACCTGGAGGAGCCCCTCTCTATGGGAGCGTACTGGCCAGTGGGAGGCTATTGGTGGTAGCAGGCAATCCCGTAAATAACCAGGTCCTAAGCCATGGAGCGCTTTAAAGGTGATAACCAAAACCTTGAAGCGCACTTGGACGACCACAGGGAGCCAGTGCAGCTCGCGCAGGAGAGGGGTTACATGGGAACTCCACGTCGCTCCCATAACCACCCGCGCGGCCGCACTCTGCGCCAGTTGGAGCCTCCGAGTGCACCTCAAGGGGAGCCCCATGTAGAGAGTGTTACAATAGTCCAGATGAGAGGCGATGAGGGCATGAGTGACTGTGCGTAGGGAGTCCCGATCTAGAAAGGGACGCAACTGGTGGATCAGGCGAACCTGATGAAAAATTCTACCGGTCACGGCCGTCAAGTGCTCTTCTAAAGACAGCCGACAATGATACACATGACACACTGTCAATGTGGCATGTATTGGATGCCTCCGGTTGAGTTTAGAAGTGGTATTTAGCCGGTTCAGATCGGTTCAGGCAAACTGGTAGCGCCAATGATCAATTGGCCCCGCCCACCTGCTCCTGCTCTATCCTGTCCCTTATTTCCTGCTTTGTAGCTCATCTCAATCGCACAGCACAGCTGATTTCCCCCCCACCCCTCCGCTGTTCTACTTACCATTGCTGACTTGGAAGGTAAGCAGCTGAGCTTCTAAATGCTCCATTTTCAGCGCTGAGCACCAGCGCCTTCGGCGCACACGTGCACAAAGTGCGTGCTTACCGATCCGGTTATTAAACCGGCAGCATCCCACCACTGGTGGAGTTCCTACCCCACACTAAGCCAGAGCCAAACAAATCCCTTAACATGTTGTATGAAGGTATCCCAGATGCCTGGCTCTGAGTCCCGAGACTGCCTTTGGATTATTGGATAATTCTTTTGTGCTTTTTCTGAAAAAAAACCTTTCATAAGTTTGAGTTTGTAATTGCGGGGTAAATACAAAACGCCGCTTATTTTTTTAACCATACTTTTGTAATTTGTAAGTCTTGCAACGAAGTATTCTTTAAATACATTTCATGACCCAAACTAGGTAACATCATCAGTGCTAGAAGGGATTGGGGGTTGTGGAGAGGAGGAGGAGGAGGAGGAGGAGGAGGAGGAGGAGGAGGAGGAGGAGGAGGAGGAGGACTGTGGGATCCTTGATGCTCTCTGAGCTTGCTTGTTTTCTTGCAAACGTTTCATTAACCAAACTAGGTAACATCATCAGTGCTAGTAAGGAGTGCTGTTTGCTGTCAATTTATACTCTGGTGGCTTGCCTGTCAGTGTGGGATCTATAAGAGATCTCTAAAACCGTCCCCCACCCACACAGACAGGCAAGACATTCAGAATATACACTCAACGATTTCAGATCATTTCTCTGCTTGCTGCCCAGAGTACTCCATAAATATGCAAATTCCAGCAAGGGCATTGGTGGCCCCCCAAAAAATTAATAATAATCAAGATTATATTTAAAAAACATCCAATCATGGACATCACCTTGATTTTTCTGAGTCCTGACAATGCCACCTCCCCAAATGGACACCCCTGCTTTCCAGCCTTCTGCAAACCAGATAATTCTGCTCAGGCCTGGGGTATGCATGGAATAAAATGCCCAGACACTGTTTGCAGGTTAAAGGAATAGACAGGGTAATGTAAGAAGAAGAGTAGTCAGTTCTGTTGCACCAGGGTATATGCAGGGTGGGCTGCTGGGGGTTCGGGAGAACCCTGTGCAGTTCGGAGAACCCCCAAATCCCACTCCTGGCTGACTCCCCCACCCCGCCCCTTCCAGGAGTCCCCATGAGGCCTGTTTTGGATGCAGGTAAGTGCAGAGACTCGGGGAGGGTGAAAAACGGGCCTACCAAAAGTTCGGGAAGGCCGAAATGGGCCCATTTCCAGCATCCAGAGGGCCTCCGGAGCCTGGGGAGGCTGTTTTCACCCTCCCGGAGGCTCAGGGAAAGCCTCCAGAATCCGGGGAGGGCAAAAATGCCCCCCCTGTTGTGGCGCAAGAGGCCGACTAGGCCACGCCCACCCAGCAACCAGGCAGAGAACCCCTTGCTAAAATTTTTGAAGCCAACCCCTAGGTATATGCTCCTGTTCCATCTCCCATTCCACAGTACCCAAGACATTAAATGAAGGAGACGAGCTTGCAGAGCCTGGGGTGGGAGTCAAGAGAGGAATCAGCCTAGAATCCTTATGTTCCCATCAACAGTCTAAGTCCAACCCCTCTTGAATCCCATTGACTGCAATCTAGTACCAATGTAGTGCTGAGGGTCCATTGACTAGATTCTTGTGTGTAGGCATGAGCAACAGATCATCTTAACTGGAACTTAATCTGTGGTCCCCGATTCTTGCTGCCTGGCATTAAGTGCTGTAACCATATGGATTTCTACTCACCCACCTGGTAACACACTGCAGTGCTCCATAGGGATCGTTGACTTCGAAGAACTGCCCGGGCTGGACCTCTTCCTCCTGATGAAATGCTCTTTCCCATGGAATGAAGATTCAGAGCCGTTTACGGGCTGTATCTGCACCTGTTCTAGACCGATCTGGATATGGCCAACCTGTCCACCAAAACAGAAAACAACCTAAAGGTTAAACGTCTAAGGAGATTTTCAATCAGATCATGTTTGCCCCAAAGGTTCAAACCATGGGTCATGATTGCACCAAAACCACCAAAACCACCACTGAGCCACGGTGGCGCAGCAGTTAGGGTGCAGTGCTGTAGCACTGCAGGTTACTTCTGCTGACTGCTGGCTGACTGCAATTTGGCAGTTCGAATCTCACCAGGCTCAAAGTTGACTCAGCCTTCCAGCCTTCCGAGGTGGGTAAAACGAGAACCCAGCCTATTGCCCTATTGTTGAGGGCAATAGGCTGACTCTGTAAACTGCTTAGAGAGGGCTGTAAAACACTGTGAAGCGGTATATAAGTCTAAGCACTATTGCTATTGCAGATTAACTCTGCCCACCGCCAGGAGTTTGATCCTGACTGGCTCAAGGCAGGGGTGAAATGCTCCCGGTTCGGACCAGTTCAATTGAACTGGTAGCAATGCAGCCGGTGGTTCGGAGAACTGGTAGCGATGGTGGTGCGAGTCTCTGCCCACCCACCCGGTCGTCATTACTTCCTGGTTTTAACCAGGAAGTAACCTGGTTAAAACCAAGGTTGGACGTAACCAGGACGTAACCTGGTTACGTCCAAGCATGCATGTTCACTTCCATGTGAACTGGTTGGGAGGGTAAGTAGATTTCACCCCTAGCTCAAGGTTGACTCAGCCTTCCATCCTTCTGAGGTGAGTAAAACGAGGACCCAGATTGTTGGGGGCAGTATGCTGACTCTGTAAACTGCTTAGAGAGGGATGTAAAGCACTGTGAATTGGTATATAAGCCTTATAGTTATTGTTAAAGATTAAATGTCTAACGAGATTCTCAATCATCCAGGTCATGGTTGCCCCAAAGGTTCTTCAGAACTGAAGAAGCGTCTTAGATGAGAAGCGAAAGGTTTTCAAGAAAAAAAACAAAAATAAGCAAGTCCAGTTGGCTTTTGCAAAAGCACCTTTGGGACACCTAAAGGTTAATGCTGGGCCCAAATATCTGTCATTCCAGTTCTCTAAAAAATTACCCCGTAAGCAATAAGCTTCTTTGTTTCTAGTGTTTTAAGAGGCTTAAGAATTTGTAATTTCTCTTAGAGGCTGCTTTGAGCTTATGTGAAGGTGGTGCTATTCCTGGTGCTGTTTTTATTTTTTTTCCTCACACCTCTTTCCATCCTTTCAAAGCCTTTTTGCTTTTGGCACACACACACACACAGTGTGGGTAAATACAAAACAGAAGTGGCCTCTCCTGTGGTCTTTTCCTGAGTTTGAATAGAAAAGGAAGAAATGCAAGGCTGCTATGGGAACTTATTTTCATACTTGGTGGAGCTGTCCCCGAGCAAGAGAATATTGGGATAGAATCCAAAAATGGATTTTTGAAATTATGGGGTGTAGGATAAAATTGAACCTGGAAATGTTTTCATTAGGCATGAAACCAGATAATTTAAATAAATTTAATTGGTATCTTGCTCTCCACATCATCATTGCAGTCAGGATCGCATTCGCTCAAGAATGGAAATCCAAAAATATACCATCGGAGGCTATGTTAATCGCAAAGTTTGTCTGTGCAGAGGCAGACAAACTTACCGGTCTCTTACGAGATAGACAAGAATCAGGGATGTATACCATTTAATAGTGCTTTGCAGCCCTCTCTAAGTGGTTTATAGTGTCAGCCTCTTGCCCCCAACAATCTAGGTCCTCATTTTACCGACCTCGGAAGGATGGAAAACTGAGTCAACCTTGAGCCAGTGAGATTTGAACTGCCGAACTGCAGCTAGCTGTCAGCTGAAGTAACCTGCAGTACTGCACTCTAACCACTGCACCATCGTGGCTCTTACCATAATAATATATATTAAGGATATTTCGTCTATGTCACATTGTTCACGATTCGCAGGAAAGCAGACCATAAAGACAACGGAAACAGCACAAAAACATTCACAGGCTAAACTAAAATGATCAATCTAACTATGATAACATCCCCCAATCCGCTTAACCCACAAAGACACGCTGGAAAAGCAGTACCGTGCAGGCTTGCAAAATGCAAGAAGAGACAAAGTCAAATCTAACGCTAAAGGAAATACAAAGTACACAAGATTATTAAATCATCTTCCTCCATCCCGACAGACGTTCTGCAATACCACGAAGCTATTTTTAGCTACCATAAATATACAACATATTAAACCGGTTTTAAAGAGTTTTCTACAAAATCTGCAACAATCCTTCGGTACAAAAGGATGGAAGGACACTCCTCTCTCTAATTTGACTCTTATGTAAACCCACCCTACAGAAGAAAGCTAGAAATACGACATTCATTTAAAGGTTTTTTTATACCAGCCAAGCAGTTACCCAAACAAACTCGCCAGGATATAGAACAGCTGTCTGCATTAATGTGATTTACAATCTACAATTACATATGTGTTATAATTTATACAGACTCACACATACCACACACATTCCTTCTCTTTGCTTACAACCGAGATGTGTCATTAACACAGCACAGCTCCAAGCGGTCCGTAAGATATAAGCTCAATGTAAGAGACCCATTTTCTCCTACATCACAAGATTATTTAGGCAAAGCAGGAAATGTTTGAACTTCTTTCCTAACTGTGTTTTGGCATTCTGGCCAATGCATCTGATCTAAACCCTTGTTCTTTTTAGTACGTGGTGATTGTAAAACCTTAGGAATGGAAGCTTACGAGCAATCCAGCGAGACTTACTAAGTCCTTACGAGCAATCCAGGAAGACTTACTAAGTATATTATTCTTGTAGTTAGGATCCAACTTTTTAAATGGAAATTTTAAATTTGGTCTTAAATTATTGGGGTTTTAAATTTTCAGCCAAATTATTTAATTCGTTTTACTTTATTTTAAATTTTGTATTCATATGTTTTATCCCATGGCTGTTCACCGCCCTGAGTCTTCGGGAGTAGGGCGGTATACAAATTGAAATAATAAATAAATAAATAAACAAACAAACAAACAAACAAACAAACAAACAAACAAACAAACTCCTAGGAAGAGTGTCATACTAAATCCTTGGTACAGTCAGAGGTGGATTTCAGCAGGTTCTGACCAGTTCTGGAGAACCGGTAGTGCAAATTTTGAATAGTTTGGAGAACCAGTAGTAAAAGTTCTGACTGGCCCCGCCCCCATCTATTCTCTGCCTCCTGAGTTCCAGCTGATTGGGAGGAAATGGGGATTTTGCAGTATCCTTCCCATGGAGTGGAGTGGGAATGGGGATTTTGCAGTATCCTTCCCCTGCCATGCCCACCAAGCCACGCCCACAGAACTGGTAGTAAAAAAAAATTGAAACCCACCACTGGGTACAGTGGCCGAATCCATACAGCATGTGCTCTTCCTTAAACGTGCGTTTCTCAACCTTTACAATTTTAAGACAGCTGGCGAGGGAATTCTTGGATTTGAAGCCCACAAAAACGTAACGTTGCCAACACTTTCCTTAAATCCATTTTATGGATAAGCGCAATGATCAGTAATGCAGTGTCTGTGATGCCACTTTCTGATCAAGCGATGAATCAATCAGGCTTCTATTTTCTGAGATGGCCAAAGACTTCATACCAAAGGCTGTATATCATCTATGGAGATTCTCAATCCTCCAGGTCACAATTGTCCCAAAAGTGCTTTTCAAAAGGCACCTGGGCTTTTATTTTTTCCCCTTGAAAATGTTTTGCTTCTCATCCAAGAAGCTTCTCCAGTTCAGAACTTAATTAAGCTAAATTGAAATTATAACTGTGGGCTCATCCCATTTGATGGGCTGCAGCCTCCAACACGCCACGGTCAACCCAAAAAGATTTTCTAGGGTGCACAATACAGGCAGTCCTGGACTTACGACCACAATTGAGGCCAACACTTGTGTTGCTAAGTGAGACATTTGTTAAGTGAATTTTGCCCCGCTTTACAACTTTTCTTGCCACTGTTGTTAAGTGAATCACTGCAGTTGTTAAGCTAGTAGCATGGTGGCTCAGTGAATCTGGCTCCCCCCCCATGGATTTCGCTGGTCAGAAGGTCACAAAAGCGGATCACATGGGACACTGCAACCGTCATAAATATGAGTCGATTGCCAAGCTTCTGGATTTTGATCGCGTGACGACGGGGATGCCGCAACATCCGTAAGTCTGGAAAATGGTCCTCAGTCACTTTTTTTTAGTGACGTTGTAACTTTGAACCGTCACTAAATGAATTGTTGTAAGTCGAGGCCTGCCCGTAGAAGTCATTGGACAGCATTGAAATGCGCTGAAATACACCGAGTGGTTATTTTAGTCAACTGTCAGTAGAGGGCACCACTGGGCCATCGCTTAGCTTCTCAATGACAAATCCACTTCGAATTGAATGAATGACCTGGAAGGGACCTTGGAGGTCTTCTAGTCCAGCCCCTGCTCAAGCAGGAGAACCTATATCATTTCAGTCAGATGACTGTCTAGACCCGTGAGGCGAACCTGTGGCACGTGGAGCCATATCGGCGAGCATTCTCCTAGCTCAGCTCCAGCGTGCATATGCGTGCCAGCCAGCTGATTTTCGGCCCTTCCGGGCTCACCGGAAGTCAGGGAACAGGCTGTTTCTAGCCTCCGGAGGGCCTCAGGGGTGGGTGGGGAAGGCTGTTTTCGCTCTCCCCAGGCTCCTAGAAAGCTTCTGGAGCCTGGGGAGAGCGAAAAATGGCCTTCTGGTTCCATCAGAAGTCGGGAAACGGGCTGTTTCCAGCTTCTGGATGGCCTCTGTGGGAGGGGGGAGGCCGTTTTCGTCCTCCCCAAGCTCCTAGACCGTGTCATTGCATGCCAAAAGTGGGGGGAGCACATAGGGTCATGTGCGTATGCGTGGGGGGGTGGGGTGCATTAAATTATGGGTGTGGGTACGCACGCGCCCCCCCTCCCACGCTCCTCCCGTTTTTGGCACGCAACAGCAAAAAGGTTAGCCGTCACTGGTCTAGACTCTTCTTCAAAACCTCCAGTGATGGAGCACCCAC